AAATCCCTAATACTGTGATGTCGTTATTTATATTTATAATATTTGCACTATGGCTATATAGTTTTTTCATTAGTTTTACAAACTAGTTATTTATACTATTGAACAAGAAACATAATTATTGTGGTAGAAAATCTTCATAAAAATAATAAAAGAAACTACTTGCCGTTGCACAATAAACCACTAAAAATGGTGACTAAAATTTTACTTCATAATTGTACTAAAAATTTTGTTGTGTGATGTTGCAAACTTGCGTCTTGGATATTAGATAAGCTATAAGTAAGGTCTTTAAAATAGTTTGGCGTCGTTTAATAAAAAATAATGTGTGGAAACGATCAATGCCAAGAGAATTTTCGTATTGGCAACAATCATTGCCAGAAGAAAGCGAGTGGCTAGAGGAAAGTTGCCATAGTTGCCGTGGTGGTTAGCAACAGCAGATTTTTTATTTTTAGTTTGGAAAATACTGCTGACAATTTTTTGTTTCATTATTCTATCGCCTTTTACAACAGTCTGGTATGTATATATGATATGGGGTAGTCATTGAGCTATTATGTACTACGTACTAGAAGCGACACTGCATTCAGCTACTCTGTTCCACTCAACTGCGGTGCATACACCGCACTTTAATCAGTCACTCGCTGGGCGCTTGTAGCGTTGCCACGTGTTATGTTGATTAAAAAAAATGCTCTTAATAAAAATATGCCGTCGTGTGTACTTAGATATTGCACAAATATTTCAACAAATGTCAGTAAAAACAAAGGAATTACTTTTCATCGCTTAAAACGATACTTAATAAATAAAAAAGAATTATTGATTAATAATAAAACAAATTATTCCTAAGACGCCATCTCGTGTCATGGAATATAGATTATGATATTAATATGTTCAGTGGCGACATTTCTATGGGTACTTAAGTATAGGAGGAATATATTATTATACACATTTTTTTTTGTAGAAACTTATATAAGTTATTATAATTAGGCTAAGTTTTTCATGTTTAAATCTGCTGATTATTCTTTTATTTTATTTTTAGGTTTAAACATCAAAGTCAAAGTGGAATAAATTCGTCCATTTTAAACTCTGTCGTGCCCAGCATTTATGAACGACTCTTATTCTAATTTAAATATATATATTTATGATTTAAATGTTATGTTAATAGGTTTTGTTAAACATACATTTAGTATGTTTTTTTAATATATGACATAGATACCTTTTAAAATATTCAGATAAAAATACCATTAAAATGTAATTGTGATATAATATTACGATGTAATATTATATTAAATAAGCAAATATAATATACAAATAAATGACAAAATTTAAATATTGTTCTGGATATAATTTACCTATTTAACAATACAATCTACTATTACCTACGGATCGTTCTGCCTATGTTTATTCTATGATAAAAAACCAACCGCGCGAACACAGAGTAGTGCAAATTTTTTGTTTGAGATAGCTGTTCTAGTACGTAAGTACATATTACTTCAATGGGGTAGTAAATTCTTACGGCCATCACTACAAGCTGAGTAATAAAAATAAAGAAAAAAATATTTAATTTCACTATAAACTAACTAAAAGGAGCAAAATGATTATAACTTTTGGTCCGTGTTACTGATATACTGTGACGTCACAATAACCACTTATGAGTGCTCCTTTTTATCAACAAGTTACTAATAAAACCCTGGTTGTTTGTGCATACATAAACACCAGTGGTTTTCCTTTTCAGAATCTTCTCCTGGCGATGAACAAATAGAGATGGTCTCATCAATAACACAAAGGTAGGCATCAGAAACTCCATTTACTTCACTGGAGGCTGCCATCACAATGGGAAGAGCTATTATTCTCAACCTTATATTACCTTCTATATCTTATCTTTACTCCTTTCTTTGGTTATAGAGTATATACTACACTTGTGCTGTCTATTGGTGAAACTGTTGAAGAAGTAACTGACTTTGGTTTCTTGGGTACAACACCGACACTTAGCTGTCATGCATTGGGTAATGGTGCCCTGGTACAAGTTTACCCTGATGGTATAAGACACATAAGAGCAAATAAACGTGTCAATGAATGGAAAGCACCAGGAAAGAAATCCATAGTAAAATGTGCTGTAAACCAGAGACAAGTTATGATAGCTTTGACTGGTGGTGAACTTGTGTATTTCGAGATGGACCCGGTTAGTACAATACTTTTCATAATATTACTACCGACGTGTTTGCATTGCAATTCCTTTAGGTGTTGTAATATGAGAGTGGCGCGCCAATGCAGTGATGAGCCCACAACGTCGCAGATCATGTCAAACTCCCACTTGTGGTTGAGATTGGCACTCAGCATATTCCATAGCCATGCTGCAGTCGTTTAAACTATGAAGGCGGCAAAACCATGCTGTGGACAATTCAAATTATTCACTATATTCAATTGCTTTGAATCAAAATCTGTAATACAGTAATTTTCAATAACTAAATGCTTATTACAGACTGGGCAGCTAAATGAATACCTATAGGTAGGTACCTATAAAACATCTTAGACTCCACCATTAATAATAATTTACATTATAACTGGCACCATTGCTATTCTTCAAACTCCTTCTAATATTACAAAAATTTGGTAGTTAAATAACGCAACAGAGTTAACTGTTGTTGATGTTGTCCCTAAAAAGACGGAAAATTTCTTTACCAAAACGAAAATCTTCAATTGTTTTGCTAGCTATCAAACTATATAAAATAGCAGGTGTAGGTACTGCGGAGCGGTCCCTAAACGTGCTTGAAGTACTGTGATAGAAAATCTTCTCACGGCCTTACCATGATGAGTTATTCACAAAAAGTTTATATTCGACAATCTGAGTACATAATTTTGTGTGTAAGATAATACTATAATTTTTCGTATTTTGACTATAGTGAATATTGTGTTTAAATAATAGTGATTATATTTGTTTGTACAAAATATTCATATTGCTATAATAATTTCTCTCATACAATATTTTAAACAAAAATTCAGTGCACATTATCTCGGTTTGGTGCAAGTGCAAATGTAGTACTCGATTTTTGTTCCGTAGGTATTCAGGTTCGCATATAGTTTTGCAATCTATCACATGGAAATTTTCTCATATTTTGGAATGATAATTATGATAATGGTCGCAGATTTTAATTTAGGCTTAGACCTTTCCAATAGTGGAAACTGCACTTACATTGATCCTCTTTCTTCAATGTGTAATTTGCTGTTGCAGATACACCAATGTTACGAAGCCCGTGGATCTCACTTTATCTACATATTCGTCGTGCTCAATTCCATTTTTCAATGGGTATTGGTGTTACATAAAAATATATATTGAATCATTGATTAAAAACTGCATCAAAATAGTTTACAATTTTTTAATAGCTTTCATATCCTAATATTTCCCCTAAGTAGTAGAGTATCCAAAATTTTTTGAAAAAGTGTTACGTAGTTTTAAAAGAAAGCTCATCAGAAGAATAATTCCTATTTTAACCTTAAGGTTGCCCTAGTCGATGGCACGAACTAAGTGGTGGGCGGGGCAAAAATGCATGCTATCTCAGCCGACATCTCGTGCGAAAGTGATAGACGCTGTGATGAGCAGTAAGAAGCTAGTGCGCACACACTCGAGTGACGCAATGGGCGACGGCATCATCGCGTACCTAGGTACCTATGCGATTAATTTTAGTTTTAGAATAACGGCAATTGTGAGCTTCGTGCCGCAATAGCTTAGCAATGAGTAGCTGCGTTGGGTGCCGCGGGTTCGAATCCCCCACGGAACAAATATTTTGTATGGACTACAAATTGTTGTTCCGGGTCTGGGTGTTTGTTCTTGTGCAATTTATATTTGTAAACCGCCTCCACGATACTGGAGAAAATCCTACTGTGGGTGTAACGTATTTTAAGAAGAGAAAGGAGAGAGAAAGCAAATTGGTTCTATTGTAACTTAGGATCTGCTGTGTGAAACGTAATTATTATGAACCCGATTTATGTACCTAGTTGTTATAATGAAAGTTCTTATGTGAACTTAAGTAGATGTTGTTATTATATAATAATTCAATTGATTTGTTTTTACCTACTTTTTAACCGACTTCTAAAAAAGGAGGTGGTTCTAAATTCTTTGGTTTTTGTTTATGTATGTTATGTCCCCCTATTTCTCGAATATGCCTGAACCGATATGGAAAATTATTTTTTTTTTGTTTGAAAGGATATATTTTCCAGATAATCCCACGGTAATCGATGATGATCAGATCAGGATCTGATGATGGGATCTTGGAGAAATCGGGGGCACTCTTAAATAAATGACAGCAATCAACCGCGATTGCTGCTATCGCCTATCTATGCATTCTTTACGCAATCACACAATATAATATCACACCTGTACCCACTAAAGGGACATAACTCTAAACTAAAAACGGTAACATAAAAAACTTTTTTTGAAAAAAGTATAACAATTTCTAAAACAAAAACAAAAAGTGTAACATCATTATGTTTTCTTTATGTTTTTGTATTTTACTGTAGGTTATGCAAATATTACTGTAGGTACTATGTATTTTAAATAGGTATTTACTTTCCATAGCTAGTTAGCTATAATAGCCCACAGGCAACTCCCCAAGTATATGCCAGCCAGTGTCAGGATAACTGCTTTTTCGACAGCGCGATTTTGATGTGAGTGTGGCTTTTATATAGGTTAATTAAATAAAAAAAATGTTAGGTAGTTTGTAAATTGTTTATTGATTGTTTCTGTTCAATAGCGGTTTGAAATATTCTCTTAGTACTTAGAAAATTACATAACAACAGGCATTGTGTCACTGCAGGGACAAGCACAAACGTCTATCAAAATAGTAACATATATAAACGGAATACTAACAGCATAGACTTCCTTACAGAAGTCCAAAGAACACGTCTAGGCAAGGTAAGTAATTAGAAGAAAACTACAATTTAGAGATCGATAGTAAATCAAATTATCAGTATAGACACAATTAGCGAAATATGAATAAAAATTTTATTTATTTTATGATAGATAACGCTAGTTGAAAACTAAACACTGTATGGGAATGGCATCACTGAACGAGTCAGGTGGTCAGTCCAAACAAATAAAAGGCGCGATTGTAGAAAGAAATTCGTTACGAAACGTTTATAGGCTAGGGGACTTGGCCAGTTTACGCTATTCATAACGAAGGCTATAAAATATGTAGGTATAACTTAGAAACTAAATCCTATGTGTACTTATCTGTATTCATAACCCAATATCTAAGGTAGGTTATTCTGTAATAAATTAAATCTAATCCAAAATATACTATAATACCATAGCAAAGCTACTACTATTTTATTTAGTAGTAGCTTATATAGTAGTATAGTAAATTATATATAAAAAAATATGAGTATGTCTGAGGTAAGATTAAATATAAACAAATATTTTGCCAAGTGCGAATCGGACTTCCGAGCTTCCGAGATTACAAGATTTAAATACCTATACATATTACTATCGATCAAAAAAAGCCAAAAATACACATTTCAAGTTTCAACATTAGTTAGGTAAGTATATTAGGATATGAGATTCCTATACGTTAGCACGATTATCGAAAATCTAAAAATTACCTATTCTAATTAAATTTATAGATAATTTTAAGATTTTCGATAATCGTGCTTATCTATGAGATGTTTTCGTTAGTTAGCAAATTAAAGTAACTAAATTAAAGTAGTTAAGTACCTACCTAATGTACTACCTGTATCGAAAGTTCATTATTATGTACCTAAATGTTTCCAATTTTTACTAAATGTGCTTCAACAAACTTATGGGAACATTTTAGCAGCTATATTCATCCCGGCTTCAGCAATGGACACGAACAAAAAAAGGAAGCAATTTTTCTAAATAATTACAACCATAAATAGATAGCAGCGGCTAACCTAGTGAGTATGTGTGAGTGCGCGCTGCGTCCCCCCTCCGTCCGTCCCACTGATCGGGGAAATAATTTGTAGCGAAAGGCAAGATGTTTTATAACAAAAACGGGCGCGCGAAATTTTATAAACAGACCTTTGGTAGTCTGGATGTCACGAAAAATCTATTGAATGTATCTGTTTAAAATAAAATTATTTGCATTTTTGAACAACTAATCTATCCCTGTATGGTAACTGTTTTGCAATTTTCGTTCTTCTTATGGTATTTATTTCCGCCCAAAGATGTGTTAAAAATAGTGTTGAAATTCGGAATTTTCGACGCTTATAACTTTTAAATATACTCTTTTTTTTACTTTTTTGTTTCCATACAGGGCTAGATAATGATGAGACAAATTGAAATCATTTTTTATTTTGAACGTACACCATCAAACAGTGGAGTTATCGCCGGACTACGTTTGTATGGAAGAATAAGCGACTAGTGTACCCTTAAGGGTAGAATTATAAAATATAGAAACACGTGTCTCCATACAACTTTTAACACCCTCTGGCACCAGCCCGTTAGGCTCGTACTCGCTTATTTTTTTACAGTCTTATTTCAGCAAATTTCGAGTCGTTCAAGGTACGTAAAATAAAAAGTTTTAAAAGTTGTTTTCAAAAATCCTAAAGGGACACAATGGATCTAGAGGTAACGATGCAGCAGATGAACTGGCCAGAAGGGGATCGGCCCTAGCAACTATAGGGCCGGAACCAATAATACCAATCCCCTTTGGCTACGTTCGTTCACTGGTACGTAGATATACTTCAATAATTTACTCGCTCAGCTTTGGAAAAATTTAATAGACTGTAGACAAGCTAGGGAGGCCCTACCTGAAATAAACAGTCGTCTAACCAAGGTTCTAATGAGACTGAACAAGCCACAGATCAGGATAGTAACAAGTGCTATCACAAGACATGGCTCTTTTAACAAACATTTGTTCACCATAGGTGTTACTGACAGCCCCCTGTGCAGGGCATGCATGGGAGAGGAAGAAACGGCGGCTCACGTGTTGCTGACATGTCCAGAAGTCGCTACATACAGACCTAAACATCTCGGCACGCCGGGATCGCTCCCCCGAAGTTGCTTGCAACATCAAGGGACTGCTGAGCTTCTTCGTGGAGATGTCATGGCTCGAATAAGCATATTATTTCTGCCCACACGCAAAATACGCGCTTAGACGTGGAGTTGCGGAAAACAGCCCGTCGTAAACTAAACTAAACTTTCAAAAATACTTTCTTAGTGACTTACGCAGCTACTGTCTAGATTTCAGGACTATCATATATCACTAGGGACTATCGTAAAATCCGTTCTTAGTGAGCGTCTACACTGCAAAATGAGCAACTACACTAAATTTCAAGTCAATCAGGTGTATAGTTTTAGATATATCATGATGACAGTAATACGACTACAAATTTATTAATAACAAATCAAGTGGTTATTAAAAAATTTGTAGCCTTAGTACTATATAATCTGAATGAAGGTATCAAATTTCAGTAGTTACGTTGTACCAGTTCTGGCGCACTTGTAGAAAGGTTGTACCAGTTCTGGCGCACGACGTTCGTCGACTCACAATC